CAGCAGGACTTAAGCAGCTTAATACATTCATGGATCAGGGCTTAACAGTCATAGTCAGCCATGAAGACTTTGGAAAAGCTACACGTGACCCCTGAATTTCAGCCCAAATCTCCTTTTTAATCTAGTATGCAGAGATTATATGGTGTTAGGTGCAGAACAGATATGAGATAAAGCCCAAAACTTTTTCTAGGTTGTTGTTGTTTTTTTTTTTTAAAACAAACAAACTCCCTTCAAAAACCCAAAAGTGAGGTAACAGCAGTACTTCATGCAGACAATCAAAGCTGAGGCAATAAAAAGAGGACCTTTTGTTTCCTGAGGACATGGTGTAAAAGATAGAGAGGATTTTTCTGTGTGCTGTCATTCTTCTATCAAAAAAAACAGTTTTTGGGGAAAGTGTTCTTAGTTACTGAGGATAAAAGATGTTAAATGCTGTGAGTAGAAAGATTTTGGAGAGTGAAAATGTGGAAGAAAAGTGGGGCATAAACTGCACAATGAGAGATAGGATAGCTTGCACTGATGAGCAAGTACTTGAAAAAACAAGCTTGCAGTGGGCAGGTTGGCTGGATGGGTTACAAATGTATTTTAAATATGAGCTGCAGTTAATATCACTTGTACAAAATTTATGAAAACCAGCTGTGTTCTTCTGAACTTGTATCTTTACTTGCAGAAGCATGATGGCCACTTTACAGTCATCCAACTGGTTGGCATGCTGCGGGGGATTGCATCTGGCATGAAGTACCTCTCAGACATGGGCTATGTACACCGTGATCTGGCAGCCCGTAATATCTTGGTCAACAGTAACCTCATGTGTAAAGTCTCTGATTTTGGTTTGTCACGAGTGTTAGAGGATGATCCTGAAGCCGCTTACACAACAAGCGTAAGTTTGTCTTATCTAATTTGAACAGTTGCTTGCCTTGTGCCTCTCTTATTCCAGTTTCAGATTTGCCTGTGCCATAGGAATAGTAGTTTCAGTTGGCTTTTTTCCATTCTCCATCCTTGTGGTCTAATAGCACTGCCAATGTGTTTAAGGGACGTTGTTTTGATTTTTGGCTGTGTAAGGGGTGTATGATAAACTTTGGCAAAAGTTTTGGACTTTTTAGGTAAATGTGCAGGTGTAAGTGGGAGACCTTTTACGTTATTGTTTGTGATACCAAAAAAGTTGGCAAGAAAACCCTCTGACATTTAGTTTGAAGTTTTAGAAGGCAGGACTGGAGACACGGGACAATTCTGCCCAATGTGTCTGTCTTGAGTTTTGTAAGCACTTTTATTGTAACCAGCTATACATGTTCATTACATTTTCTGAGAAATCTCCACCTCCCTGCCTATCTACTACATTTACGTAATGCTGGCGTTGCGAAACTACAGTATGCATGCGCGGGGTCTCAGGTGGTCGTTGGGGGAGTCAGCCCCCTACTCCTCTCTCCCTTTCATGGCCACGGGTCTCCTGAGGATAATTTCTTCTCCTTGGATGTTTGCCACCTCAGCTGTTCAGCCAAGCAGTTCCTTCTTATCATCCTTGTTTGAACACTCCTGCTAGGATGTTTCTATTCTCAAGGTTAAGATATCTTCTCTGTACACATTAATCGCTCAGTCCTTGCTCTTAACCCTTCTTTGTTTTAATTTCATGAGGCCTCTTGGTTCTACACGCACACTTTCCTTGTGATTGACTATTTACACATAGCTGAAATGTTAGCCTTGAGGCAAGTATAGCCTAAGGACTATGAGAGTAGGTTGTTAAACATAATCACACAGTTACTAGGCTGAAGAAATCTTTAAAAGTTAAACTAATCATGCAATCGGTGACCTTCCAGAAAGTACGTAAATGTATCGTTTGGGTTTTGAGTTTTGTGTTTGGTTTTGTTGGGTTTTTTTTCCACATCGTTTCCCTTTCTGCTAACTTGCGTTCATTTACAAAGATACGTTTTTAAGAAGGGGGGATGAGGGAGGAGAGAATCTCGTCTACTCCATGGTTGGAAGCATGGTGTCAAGCCTTGCATTCGTAAATTCAAATTTTAATTTTACTTTATATAAGCTTGCCTTCTAACAGGGTATGTAGGACCTTTCTCTAAAGGTTTAAGTTGTGTTTCATTAATACTTAAATTCCTTATGTGATGCAAGTAAATTGTTACAGTGGAAAACTGTTTCTTGATGGTTTTTTGGTTGGTTTGGTTTGTGGTGTTGGGGGGAGGTTTACACTGAAGTGAAAAAAATCTTGAACATGGTGAAGCTTGTTCAAATTTGACTTAGAAGAAAAAAACAAATTACACTTGCAGTATGAAGAAAGTAGGATGTTGGTGCTACTAAAATTATAAGTTCAGATACAGCATTTTTTCACCATGCCAAAATGTATTATATTCCTGTTATGATTATTACCACATCATTAAGAACCTTAGATAATTATTAGCTGATTTCAAGTAACTTTCATATCTATCAGTGAAACTAAAATTATTTCAGAGTTGGAGTGCATTCTCGTTAGTACTCGCAAATGCACAGAATTTGTATTTTTCCATGATAGGACATAGTGACAGAATTCTAACAGAGATAATAAATTAGCATTAAATAATTTATTTTGACCTATTTCAAGCTTTTTTCTTTTTCATTTTAAAAAGTGAAGTATGGCCAAAATGAAGAACTCATCTAATTTAACTGTATTGTAGTAAGTATTCCCGTTTATCAGTTGAATTCAATATAGCTATTGTAATGGGATTACAGAACTTTTTTTATGTCTTATATTTAATTTTTTTTTTTTTTGTTTAAGCCTAAAATAGGGGTGTTCTAATAAATTCACTGTAAATTCCAATTCTCTAGAACGAGGTCTACACAGAACTGCAAGGTGACTAGAGCAAAACAAGTCACTTCCCAAGGTTTTCTATTGGTATTAATATGCAAGCTGGGGAAAAAAATCATAGTTTTTTGCCTTTATAGGGGAGACTTCCCTCATTTAGTTCTCAAAACCTCTTTTGCGTCACACTGCTTCTTAGTGTGAGTCTTGAAAGGAAAAATAAACATTACTGCGGCTTCACAAGTTATCACATGTTGACTGAGCCTTGTTAATTGTCCGTGTGAGCCTGCTCAGCTGGCAGCAAATGCCCCCAGTGACAGGCAAGTCAACTTACATTGCTCAGCACTGATCGTGGGCTAATCAGCTCAGCTGGTGGAAGGCACTGGAAATTGCCAAGCAGTCTCTCCCAGTTAGGTTCAGGAAAAAAATACCAAATAATAATTTGAGGCTTTCAGCTATTATTTATCCTGTAAGTTTCTAATGGATATTAATACCAAACAATTACTTTTTCATGCTATGTTAAAAAAAAAAAAAAGAATATTTCATGGCAATACATCTGTGTTGAAGGACTTTTTGAAAGATAGGACAGGCTTTGATGAAATGCTCATTATTTTCCTATCACTTCACCTAGCTGGTTAACATGAGAGTCTGTGAGGCAGCTGTTGTAGGTGGAACACCTCAGAGCCATTGCTTCAGTCCTCCAAGGTTGCAACCACATGCTGTACCAGAAGCAGGTGTCTATTGCATGTCCATCAGGATACTGCAAATAAGGAGGGGACATTACAGAGGCTGATGGCCAGTGGCAGGACCCTGTGTCAGCCAGGTGTTTAGGGTGACTCTGCTTCAACCATGAACTCCACAAAGAAGATCAAAAAGCTTTGAAACTCAGGTGGGAAAATGGTATGTTTCATTATAATATGAGCTATAAACTTTGTAAATAGGAAGAATTTAAAGCAATGGAGTCAGGCATAACAGAAATTTTAAAGCCATTTAAATCACTTTCCTTCAACCCCAGCCCCCTCTGTTCTTGCAAGTGGGTCTTTGCATCCAGACTTTCAACCACGGTGTCTGAGTCTGTCCAATTCTCTTCTGTCACTTCTGGTCCTTGAGAAATATCTTTCCCTCATCCCTGAGGGCAGACTGACTGCTCCAGTCCCTGTTCCATGTTGCAGTCATTCTGTGTGATCTGGTGATAGCCACGTTTTCTGTGGGATGCTTTTGCCTGCCAATATGCTCCATCCTTTTGGAGGAGGGGTCTTGCTCCCCTTGAGGAGGTCCAGTAGATGTTCCCTGTAGGGAGTCCACATCCTACTGTCACTTTTTTAAAGGAACACAGCACAATTATGGCCAAAAGAGTGGAAGAGAAAGAAAGTTTTGTTACAGTGGCTGTGGAGGACTCAGTGAAGACTTTCACCCATTAAGCAGTCTTTCATAGTAACAGAAAAGAGCAGAACCCCACATGGATCTCATGTCTTCTCCCAGCTTTCACTGACCATTGTTATGTCATTGACCCGTGTCCTCATCATGACATCTTCCCAACAGCAGGCCACATGTATTACTGGAGGTTTTTATAGCATCTATTTAGTTCCACGCTGTGCTTTTGCCATATGAAGGTTAAACCCTCAGTGCTTTCACAAAGGTTCTGGTGCTTTTAGAATTCATGTTTCCTCTCCACAGGGATTTTTCTTGATAGCAGCCCAGTACCTGTAGCTACAAGAAATCTATAGAGTGGGTCTGCATATTGAATAGTATTATTTTTAGGCTCACATGTCCTAGTATACCACTGTCCGTCAGTGCTCAGAAGAAACTGTGATTATTTTTGATTCCCCTTTTTGTCTTAGTCCTTCTGTCAGAAATAGAATAGCACAATTGGATGTTTTCTTTGGAAACAACAGCTACAAGACAACCTAAGCCAAAAATTAGAATTTTATATCCACCATATGTGATGCTCTAACCAATTCTGTGTGAATGTATTCCCAGACATAAAAATTGTAAATTGATGCAAAAGACACATCAGATTTTATAAAGCTGTCATGCTCTGTGGCAAAACAGGTTTTGTCCTCACAAAAATAAGCCGAAAGGCTCTGTTACCTTGTGAATTTACCACATCTGAGCAGGCACAGCCTTGAGTCAGATGATTGGCATCTTTTGCTTTGTCTTCCTGTTGTCATCCAATATAAGTACCTTTCTCTTTACTCGCTGGTTTAGAATAGATCTTATATTCTTTCTATTGGCACATCCTCCCACATTCAGGGCAAAAATCAGGAATCGACATCTAGGAAAAGCAGTAACACTGACATGGAAAATCTGGAAAGGAAACCACCTAGAAAATGGCTACATTCTGTTCTCACACTGAAACACTACTTATGAGACTATATTCAGTGAAGTAGTGATGGGAAAACTGTCAAATGTCTCAAAATAACACAGTTAAAGGTCATTAAGTTTCTCAAGAATTTTGGACTGACATTACTGGTCAGAGAGCTGTTGAATGCTTTGACCAGTACAGGAAATGATTGAAATCTCAGAAATCAGCTTGCTGACTTCTGAACGCTTTGGGCCTTTTTTGTCCTCCAACCTATTGAGACAAAGAATGTAAATATGATTTTGGTAAGAGGGGTGTTAGGAAATAAGAGATTGACCTCTATTTGCTCTCAGGTATCGCAAAACTTAGAGCAAGATTTAATTCCTCCTTCCTATTCTAAAATTATGAGCTAGGAACATTCAACTGCCAATCTTTGAGTTTCAGATTGATCAGGAAAGAGAAGGTAAATTCGGGGATAACTGAATAACATGGGTTTTTTCCATGGAGACAAAATCTTCATTTTTAGTAGTGGTTTCCAAGGCAACAGTAGCTCATAAAAAGACATTTCTAGTATATAAACAAGAATTCCTATCAATACAGAGGACATCTAGGCTCTTGCATCCCTGCTTTTAGATAGGCTGTGTTATATAGTGTGAATTCATTTAGTTTAAAACATAGTCAGGGTTCACCTGTATTTCAAAAAACACCATGAGCCTCCAGGAAAACTTTTTACATGTAGCAAAATGTGTACACAAACATATATATAAAATCAGAACAGGATCTGTAGCACTAC